CCCTTTGCAATCACGTGGAGATTGAGCCCAATTTCATGGCTCCGCTTACCGTTAGCAAAAATCCCTGCTTACTGTAGCAGAAAATTCCGTGCTTACGGTAAGCGTATTTTACAGGTCAGCGAGGAATTGTGGCTTCTGCGCATGCGTACATCCTGTAACTAAGGATCCTTCGCATGCTTTATACAGGGTTAGCACAGACTTTTTCTGCTAGTGTGGTTAGCACAAAAAGGTGGTGGTAAGAGCAGGATTCTGTGGTTAGCAGCGCCATGAAATTAGGCCCTGATCTCATGAATGCGTAGTAGAGCAGCATCTGAAATTGTATTGATTGCTCCTTGCCACGACAGTTTTATCTTCCTGTTGTCTGATTGGCTGATTGTCACACATGTGCTTAATAGTGCAACGTAGCGGCTAATGGACCGATCCATCATGCCGCACCCTGCGATGTTTTGACCAATCACATCCCCGATTAATGAGCGACAGGTGTCCAACATTTACATGACGCCCACAGCCGGAACATGCAGCATGTCATTGGAGAGGCACACCTGTTGTTGTGTAGGTGTGCATCGGGTGAACCTAATGGATAGGTCCATTGTACATGTGACAAACATTTGAAATAATTTAATTTAACCCTAACTCCCTAGCATGATTTACTAGGAACCATGCCCATCCTGGCAAATTCCAACACCATATGGGAAACTGCACACGCATATTTCTGACTTTGATTCTGGAGGTGTGCCAACCCAATGTGAAAGACTGTCAGTTAAGGGGTACTGTACCTATCCTGACAGATTCCAACAAAACATGCCGTTGGGGTTTGATGGGTTGAGTTCTGATAGGGTTGACCCCATGTCAGGGGGTCATCAGGACCTGCTTACTGTTGCCTGACTCTGCTTGCTATTACTTGTAAGGTTGACCCACTCCACAAAATTGAGTTACATGTATATACATGGTTGGGTAGCCCACAACCTAAGCTTTTATTTGGTATATAATAGAGCTCCATAGCTCCTGTTCTGGAGATATGACATACTTGCATGTTAATTACTTCCTTGGAGTTTGAATTACTTGACTGGGAAAACAGGCTTTGAAATAGCTGGCTTTGTTGTAGATTCGGGCATGATTCACTCAAAATTGTAGGTTTTTCCCACTTTAATAATCAAAATCAACATTTCTGTGAAGGAACCCTGAAATTTTAGGTATTCAAGATGTCATTCATGACAAAAAATGAAAATCCAATTTTATTTTTAATTTTAATACGCAGCGCGACTTAATACCCTTTTTGTGGAGCGGGTCACATTGTGGATGAGATACTCGGGCTGTTTCACTTACAGCTAACGCACAAAGCTCTCCGTACCACATTTATCACAAGGCATAATTAAGACAAACTGGCTCGTTTCCTCGCCCTCAGGAAGTCTTGAAGCATCTGTTAGGAAGGCGTGGTGTTCAGGCAGAACCCATCGCCTGGATTGAGATTAATGATTCGAAACCATTATTCTTGATTGCAGGCTTAGATAATAACAGGTGTGCAAGTGTCTTCAATTTCCAATGATGTGGCAGTTATTGGGTTTGGATGGAGTGATGACTTGGTAATGTTCCTTCAAATTGCGGCCATCCTTTGAGGTGTTCACTTCTGTTCCAAAATGTCAGGGAGGAGTAGACCATTTGTGCATTCATTGTTACTGATTTGAAATAACAAATTGTGGAGCGCTGTGGTCCAATGGTTGCAGTGTTTGACTCGCGTGCCGTGGTACAGGGGTTCGAACCCTGACGGGGAGCACGGTGCTTGTGTTCTCGGGCAAGACACTTTACTACAATTTACTCCACCCGGGAGTATAAATAGGTACCTGTGAAGGTAGAGACCAGATTGCACTGCTCTCAGGCTGCTGCAGAAAAAAAAATGGTCTCAAGGCCTGATGAACACGGGTAACAATTGTGAAGCGCTTTGACACCTAAGGTAGGCCTATAATGCGGTATACATGCACTGCATTATTATTACATGTATTAATATTAAAATACCCTATTAAGGTGGCTGCTGAACTGCTTAAACTGTTGCCCATGCATATGTCAAAAGGAAGTTCATGGATTCATGAGCATCTCTCATAATTATAAATTTGTCAGTGAAGGACGTAGTCATTACATCGTCCCAGTACAACATTTCTGTGGGATAAGGTTTTATGCATTGCATTAGAATTAGTTGTGCACTGCATGATCAAGCGTGGCTCTCAGACGCAAGCTGTTGAAGAGCTTTTTCTTGGTCCTATTTTGTGAAACTCATTTGTGATTGAATTTGATACATGTAGTAAAGTTGGATCATTTGTTGATTGATTTCTTACTTCACTTGCTGACAGCATATGAATAATAGCATCTCCTTATAGAAGAGCAGTCAAGATTTAGGTACTCTAAGAATGGGAGGGAACCTCAGAGTGGTATTCTAAGGGTAACCCATGGATTCGGGCAGGGACTAAAAAAACCTAACCACATGCCAGCGCGGGCGGGTTTCGAACCCGGTTCACAGAGTTGCAAGACGAGGAAAGTGCTGCTGCACCAGCTCCTCTTTAAACCATAAGGAACTGAAGAGAGTCTAGCTTTCTGTCCAGGATATCAGGTTTCTATTTTAGCGCTGTGTTCCAGTCTTTGGGGAGTGGTGATGTATATCCCCTTCCTGCCAATCGAGCCAGGTGAGTTGCGTTATGCCATCTGGCATCGTTCGCGCGGAGTGCGCTGATCTTTTTGCGAAGGTCATGACTTCGCCATTGTACCTGAGGTTTGGGGAGGGGAGGGGGTTGGTCACCATTGGTGGGGTCTGGGGTCGGGGGGGGGGGGGCGTTGCAAGGTTTGCCAAGTCAATGTGTTAGATTTCTCCTCCTTGTGCTTCTGGCGGCCTCCGGTAGGTTCGATCTCTGTCTGCCGAGGAGCGGCATGAATTGGCTAACGTTATGATGGAAGCGTGTGGTCAACTAGTGTCTTCGTTGAGGTTGAGATGCCCTTTCACCAGAAGCTGTAATTTGGCAGGCCTGATTTTACTAATCCAGCGCTAAGTCGTGCCTATAGACTTTGTGCGCAAGTACCTCCTAACTTGGTTAAAGGGAGTGTCAGGAGGGGCTTGAACGTTTTGCTGCCCTACGCCTGGCACTCACATGTGAGGAAGATACAGGATTGGGCACATCCTAAGTAAAATTGATAGTGGGCACTGCACGATCCAGTGTGTGGACACAATGTGTCCCTGCCACAGAGATGTCACTAGAGGTCACAAAGCACCTTTGACTGTTCCCGCACTGAGTCCATACCCCAAGACGAAGCACACTGTGCTTACTGTTCAGTTTTAGGGCCCCCCTTTCTGCTCCCCTCCCCTCCCCCACCCCACCCCATTTATTTGGGGCCAGCTACCTGTCCTCACTGTTAGCTGTTACTTTTAAAAGAAGTAACTTCACCAATTGTACTGCAAGAATCATATAAAGTGAGGACTATTTGCATGAGAGAGTTCGGGGAAGAAAAATAACTTCCTTACACAATTCTTAACCGTTTTGGATTAAAATGTCAACATATTGATCAGATTACCTTACTGTAAGGTCTGTGTATACGCTAGTAACGGGAATCAGATGGATGTGTGTGTGGATGGAATTTTTCATAAATAAATTTCTGCATGTTTTCGATTAAAATTGTCAAAATGTGGGACAAATTAACGTTTTGTTGGTCTGCGGAGGGGGAGGATGCTCCGTAAAAATAGTACAGGCAAAAAGTACTCGGTTTTTGGTTCTTAGGATGCTGGACAAAATATTTGTCGAACTCTAGGCGCCAGGGTGGATAGGGATGGGCCTGTGTGAAATATATAGCATGTTTTTCAGTCATTTCAGAGGAAAATAACTTTACCTAATGTTGTTACTGTTTTTGAGGTGTGCCCAGGTGTTTTGTGTCTGGGGGAGTGGGCATGTGGGAAAGGATGGGTGGAGGAAGTGGATCATGATTAACGGAGAAATCATCTTCTGAAAATTGCTTGTGTTCGAGTGATGGCTGGAAATGCTGGAGCATGGGAAAGACATTTTCATTTGTGGAAATTGACTGCATATTTCTTGTAATTTTATTCGACGGAAGAATTTAGATAATCAAAGACTGACATCGGCACAAAGAAATTAGTTAATCAAAGACTGACAAAAGGAATGGTAGGGGAACAAACCTTTTTGGGGAGGAGTATTTCTTCTATTTTAAGAAATTCAGTTCTAAAAACAGTGAAACTGCACGGAATTGCAGCTTGTTTCCTGTTACCTTCTGTTGTTGAAATCTTTAATGGCAAGTTGCCCTTATCCTTTAATAAATTTTGACATTGAGGAAAAACGTTTGCATTGCCAACTTGCCAAGACAAAAATTTGAACTGCTGTAATCCACTTCAGACTTCATTCTTTTAGACATTTGTGTAACCCACATGTTGACTGTAAAAAATTGTGATTGATGACCTCCAGTTCCACGTGAGATTGCAGAAATTTTGTCTTTTTTTTTGCGTTGACTTTCAGGAATTGGATGACATTGGTGTATCATTTTCCTTTTCAGTCCCAAAATAAATCCGGCAGCCGACCTCAATAACCACGGTAGTTGACTGTTAATACACCTGTCTTAGTAAGCACGAGGTTGAGGGTTCAAGTCAGCCTTGTTAGCTTGGGAATTCATTTCTCACAAGCCAGATTTTATAGTGTTTATCAGGCATGCAACTTTTCCTCGGATTGGCTAATTTCCTTGTTTTTTACTTCTTCTGAATGCCATTACAAATTGAAAAATACTGTACAAAGTCTTGTGTGGTTTGGGAGTTGCCTCATTTCTTCTAAATTCCCAGCTGCCTGCCTGGCTTGTAAAATGAACTTGTTGAAGAACGAGTCCCAATACATGTACATACTTTTAACCACTTTCAACTTCCTACAGCAAAATGTCATGCAATGGCAAAAAAACATTTGGATTTTGTTTGTCAACTTAAAGATCTGTCACATTTCTGTCACATCTCTTTGGCATCGCAGAGTACGGCGACCGGATTACACAAGATCTCATCCCGTCCCTCAACGTGTACCCTCGGCTGTGCATTGTACGCCAGGACGACCACCGGCACGCGGCCATGTTCCCTCCAGCTGAACGCTTCACCCTAGCCCAGGCCAACTCTCCGAGGGTCGTCACCAAGGATGAGATCGCAACGTTCGCAAGAGAGTTCCTGAGGATGGGCGATGAGATGATGTTGCAGACAGAGCAGTTCTGATGGCCAATAAGAGAGGGAAACTAAGGAGTGTTTTAAATATCTGTATGATTTTTTATTTATTTAATTTGAATCATTATCTGGTAATGATCCCAAATTTCTCCTCAAAAAGGCATGAGCACTTCAGCCCAGAAGTCTTAAGATAATCTGGAGAGAGGATGAAGAAAGATTTGCATTTGCTTTGGAGGATAGACAAAAACCTCGAACAGCATTCTGGGGAAGACCCATGGAATCATGCAGCTTCTGCAAAACCCACTCCTCACGTAAGCCCGCATGGGATCCAAACCCAGGTCCCCGAGGTGGAAGTTAAGGAAATAAAACCTTATTCTTTGATATTTTCAGGAACATCTGTAATCCCCCTCTTCCTCTCAGAAGTGCCGAGCCGAAAGATTAGACATCCTGGGATCAATTCTTTTAATATTATCAAGTCATTCTCAAACTCTAGTTCAGTTTCCCATAATCTCCAATTTTTGCGTATCAAATTACATTGACTATTTGTTGTTGAATAACAACGTTTCAGTCAAAATGAGGTTCACATGATCAATAGGTCTCTCTCAAATGACGTCACTTCCTAAAGATTACCACGTGCATCAGCATTTTGGGCATCAAATTTTCGTGACGCGCATCGACTGCGCCGTATTTCGAAGAAAATTCGAGCAACACGTGCGTGTTTAGAACATTTTGCACACTGCGTGCACACGCACCAGATAGCATTGAACACCCATTTGTATTTTATTACAAAGATGGCGTCCTTTGAGAGAGATCTATTTATGGAAAAAAAGCCTACTTGACGTGCAACAGTGCATAAGAATTTTTTTCTAGCACTTTGAACATTTGTTAATAACTGAAAGGCAATGTCATTTCCTGAGATGACCTTGAATTGCATATTGATATAAAGAGTAGTGCCACGCGTCTGTCATCAACTGACAGAGTCAGTTACTGTGAGAAGGAGACGTGTATCAAAGTTGTTACATCGAAAATCGCTGTATCAACATTTATAATTCTTAAATCATAAGTTAAAATATTATGAGGCTAATAATAACTCCTTTAAACCACAGTTGCTTGGGACCGTTTCAAGCCTAGGTTACAAATATGTGGATTTTAACACTTCTATGCAAACACACATTCTGTGCCAAGTTGTCCTTTCAGTCAAAATCAGTCAAGTGACTGTTTTCAACAGTTAGTAATTCCCAGCCTACATAAAAGCAGGATTGACTGGCTGTGACTGTTTATGTAACTTGATACAGCTTTGCTTTGACTTTGGGTAATTGATAAGCCCACAATTTGCCTGCTGTGTCTGTTCATGGTCTGTTGATGGTCTGTTGACTGAGTTTGGCTAGTCACAGTGCTTGCTTGACATATGAGCTGACTGCTGGTGACTAGCCTGTGTTTAAAGTATAGCATGGGAAGTGGATAGAAAATTTGACTGTCTGTTTAAATAGCAGGAGGATTAATACACATTGTTTCCGTTTTTGAAGTCTGTCTTTCCCAATGTACATCTCGTTTTGCCAAGGTGGAGAAAAGGTATTGTGGTAAAAAGTGCCTTGCTTAGGGACATGAAACCTTGGCATCTGTTTCTTAGACGTGAAGGGGGAGCCGTGGGCGATATAATATGCTATAGAATAGGTGCCATGTTTTGGATCCATGGTCAGTGGCCCTTTCTGCGCTCAGTGAGTCACTTGACCTTCAAAAGCAGTCTGCTGGATCATTAACACCACCTGTTTGTGTTGACCTGCGATTGATTACGTATATTGCGGTACATCTTGCAGGATGAGATGTTAATGGATTGCCAGTTACTTTGGCTCAAGATGCTAGCCATTAAATAAAAATAGCACCTCTGTATCCCAGTGTAGCTTTGAGTGGTAGCTGTTTAGAGAGGATGACTGTCCTGCATCCCAAGTAATCTTGGCCGTTTGTGATTGACGTTGGCTAGCACTGCTGCATCCCAGTATAGCTCTGGGTGCTAGCCGTTCAGAAAGGCTGACTGTTCTGCATCCCAAGTAACCTTGGCTGTTAGTGCTAGCCATTGAAGGAGTCTAGCACCTATGCATCCCACTATAGCTCTGGGTTCTAGCTGTTCAGAGAGGATGACTGTCCTGCATCACAAGTATTCTTGGCCATTGGTGCTAGCCTTTGAATGAGGCTAAGACTTCTGCATCCCACTATAGCTTGCAGTGCTAGCTGTTTAGAGAGAATGACTGTCCTGCATCCCAAGCAACCTTGATTGAGGATGCTAACCATTGAGGATGGCTAGCACTTCTGCATCTCTCTATAACCCTGGATGCTAGCCGTTCAGACAGGCTGACTGTCCTGCATCCAAAGTAACCCTGTCCGTTGGTGCTAGCCAGTGACAGAGGCTAGCACTTCTACACCTCACTATGGCTCTGGGTGCTAACCGTTCGGACGGACTGACTGTCCTGCATCCCAATGAACCCTATCCGTTGGTGCTAGCCATTGACAGAGCCTGGCACTTCTACACCTCACTATAGCTCTGGGTGCTAGCCGTTCGGACAGGCTGACTATCCTGCATCCCAATTAACCTTTGCTATTGGTGCTTGCCATTGAATAAGTCTAAGACTTCTGCATCCCAGTATAGCACTGGGTACAAGATGTTTAGAGAGGCTTACTGTCCTGCATCCCAATTAACATTGACTGTTGGTGCTAGACATTGATGGATGCTAGACTGCCAGTCTCTGAATGCTTGTCTTTGAGAAGGCTAGTGTTTTGCTGTATTCTCAGTAACATTGGCTCTGCATGTCAGCAGTTAAGGGGTGGCCATACTGCTGCATCCCCAGTAACTTTGGCTCTAGGTGCTAGCAAGTTAAGACCAGCGATACTGCATTCCCGCTAGCCTAGCCTGTGGCGCTGGCCGTTTAGAGAAGCAAGCACTGTACTTTCCTACTAATTTAACCTTAAATCTTGATGCTAACCCCAAAGATTGAAGCCTGAAGTTGTGTTCCATGGCTGCTCTGGCAATGGCAAAAATATATTTTAGCTGATTGATGTCCTTTTCCCAAAATTATCCTGGTCTAAAGCTTTGTCTGAATGTGGTTGCCGTTTCATGTCTTGACTTGTAAGCAGTGATCAGAAATAGAAGCATAGGAAGACAAATATCCTGGAAGAAATTTCGGAACCTTTCTGAGCCCTTTTCTGCTTCGAGGACTATAAAGACGTGATCCAGCACTTCAACACAGATTTTTATAGCTATCTCCAGGGAAACAGCTGTAGTAATTACATTTTCCAATACTGTTTTGCAGGACGTTTGGAATTTCCCGTATTGAATTGACTTACAGTTTTGTTCTGGAAGTGTGTGACATTCAAGTGATAAAAGCAGTACACCTTGATTCGTTTGGATTAAAAAAACCATGACTATCTTCACAAAAGCTCTTTACAGAACCTCCTTACTCCTCCCACGCCCAGCCTGGCATGGCCCCTTGGACAAGGAAAGGTTACTTCAGTTCATGCAGTATCGCCCTCCCCCTCTCAAAAAAGGGGGTGCCTTACCCAAGAGATGCTTTCAAGTCATCACAGTCAATCACAAGTCATTTCAAGTCGTCCAGGCCCAAGTCACAAGCTATTCGATCGAGCTGTACCAGAGGAACTCCACTGTCATTGTTCATCCCGGTCTGCTCTTGACTTTTGTTTTGACAAGTGATTAATTTTGATTTGACTTGTGATTGATTTGTGGTAGACTTGGCTACATCTTTGGCCTCCTCCAACCACAAAGGGAACAGCTGTTGAGTTCATCACTTAGGCCTAAGCTTCCTCACCTAACCTGCTAAAACTCTTTGAGTTTATCCATACGACTTCTAGCAGTTCGGGTTCTATACCAATGCACTTTAGAGTGTTCTAGTTTCAAGATCTGCTTGAAGGAATCCGTCTATGTACTTTCTTTTGAAGTCACGTGACAACTGTCTCCTGTCTGCCAGATGTTCTTCAATCTCCGGATAAGAAAAAAAAGTATGATTCCTTCACTGTCTGATTGTGCGTTTCCTCGGGATTGGAGACGAGACCTAACGAGTTTTGACATGACCGGGGAGAACCAGTCAAAGCTCGTCAGTCTCCCGAGGGCTGGCTGGCCAAACGAGAGTGATTGAAGTCGGTACTGTCAATCAGCCTGACGGATGCGCGCACTTCGGTCCTATACTTGTAGGCGAACCCTAAACACACGTGTGCATACGCACTTACCTGTAGCTGTAAACCAAGCATACCGAGAATTAATGTTATCAACTACTTTTCCTTTTCCCAAATTGTAGGGTAGCACATCTTGACATGATGGTGACAGCTTGAGTTTAGATTTGTGTATTTATAGAGGCGGACCCAGGTAGGGGTAATATTATTTTCCCCACCCATAATTCAGTTCTGTAACCTCCAATCCCCTAGTCTGAGGATCAGGCATTCAGGTGTGCAGGGCCGCACGAACGAACGTCTGGTATATCCTAGCATGCACATTTTATGCGACCCGCGCGGCAGCCATTTGGAGTGAACTTGAGAATCTGTGTCGTCATTTGGATCGGAAGGTGGACTAAGCTGCTTATTGGTCATTTTGGCTGTCATGTTTTTGTAACGCAACAACGGGTTACGGAAGACTCGATAAAGACGTCCTCTGCATGGTCAGAATCTCGAGGTCAAGACGTTGTCTTGTTTTGCATAATTAATCGCTTTTGTAAGTTCTTTTCAGAACATTTTCAGGCTGGAAAATTTCAGATGCACCCCATACGTGAACGAATATGTGGTAACCTGCTTATGTTAAGCAAAACTCGTGGCATTGATTAACGCCTGTTGATATCGAGGTGTGTTTTTTTTGGCAGTTTTAACGCCATCATTTCCGCAGGGTCTCTGGCTGAGTTGAATGTGAGGCTTCACTGGCTACTTGAGTGGATTATTATCTAAGCATTATATACATTGTAAGACACCAAAAGGTCTTTGTTTTGTAAGACACCAAAAGATCGTTTTGCAAGTAAAGTCTCTGGGTTTTTTTTTTTTTTTTTTGGTTTTCTTGGTTCCACTTCCGCGATACCGTGCAAAGACCGAACAACTCATATTTTAACCTAGCCGTCCACAATGTCTCTTAAACTCAGTTTTTACATTATGAATACCAAACAAAATGTACAACACGAACACCAGTATGTTCTACTTTCACCATAAGGTCGTGTTCCTTATCCACTCCCCGCGGATCCCGCTATTCAGACTACATGGAAGTTATTTCCTACCCCTGCCTCCAGCTCTCTTGACCCCGACATGACTCGGGGTCTAGAAAGGACTTCCCTCCGCTCTAGCCTCATCAAGACCTCCACCCTACCGGCCTTGCAATCCTAAATTACTATACGTCCTTGTGTCACAAATTACGAACTTTTATTCGTTGTTGCTCAATCATTAAGAGTGCACGAGACCTCTCTTTATATTGGAGCGTCTCCGGTCATCCATCAGCTGTCGGAAGTCCAGGATGACGGCCCGTCAAATCATACCTAGGCCCATGTCGTATAAAAAGCTCACTGTACTATAATTTCATTTTTATCCTGTAACAACCAACGCAATACAAGACTCGGACTTAGCATTTCGATTTCTCCGAGAGATAAACTTTGTTGGGGACTAACTGATTTTGACAACTGTGGATTATTGGAACA